TCGGAAGAATTAGGCATCAAGAGCGACGTACGTGAAGATCAGGAAGGTAATCGGTGAGATGAGGAACATCCTCGAGAACATAACCGGCAGGACCCTTGATGATCTTCGGCTGACTGCTTCCGAGAGAGCCCATGGCGAAAACCTGAACCAGAAATGGATTTTCTCGGCGACCCAGATCCCTCGAACCCGCCAGAAATTATCCGAACGCGAAAACAAGAAGAAAAGCCTGTCCCTGAAAACGGAGGAGGAGAATAAGAGAGATGCACCAAATCCATCAGTCCAACAAAAGGCGACCCATTTTTATAGGACTTGGCGAATTGACCACCCAAGTCGGTAAAGGAATCTCGAAAGAGGGAGAGAGAGAGCAGTGAAATCGTACGGAACCGCGGTTTTGCTGTGGTGGGCAGGATTGGTTTCCGGGAAAAATGAAAACTTTTAAAGCTTTTCAGATGGAGGAATTCGATCAAACCAGTGGCGATGAGCGTCAGCGGAATTTGCCGCAAGAAACTGTAAATACGTATATACGCGTATACGAAGTTATTATTAATTTATTAGGGTCCATAAACGAGTTAATGGTGATACGGTTGCAACATGGGACACGCTTCACATTCATCTAGAACCCACATTTTCATTTATTTACCGACTTCCATTACCATGATGTAAACAAACTACTACTTGTCTCCGGACCAGACACCAAGTATAAGTTTTCTTCTCTGTTTTTTTTTCCTCATGTCATTGGTGTATTTTGACACGTGTCAATATAAGATTCTTGCTAATGGCAGCGTCAAGAGATGGGCCCACGAGCCCATTTTGTCAAACTTTTTTCCCCCTAAAATAATGCTGTGTTGAAATCGGATCGGACGAATAAAATATATCAATTTGGGGAAGATTCGAGTATACTGCATAAATATTAATTAATCCCAAATATTTATTTTTTTTTCGATATTCTCTCATATAATGAATTTTTTTATTTTTTTATTATGATGGTTTTTATATTATTTAATTTGGGTACATCCGATTTATCAACTGTATTCGTTTTGGATACTTTAAAGAAGAAAAAAAAGATGCCATAGTCACGAGCTTCATGGAAATAACAGCTGAGGTCATTGTCCATAAAACGAGTTGATTAATTAATTACCAAAAAATGCGAAAACACGAGATGTTTCAAAAAATAAATGTATTATTATTTTTTTCTAGCATAAAATGCATGAATCTCTTGATTAATGAATTATAGATAGTCTATTAGTTAAGAGTTGACAAAATCATTTTAAAGTTTTGGATTAGATTTTATTAATAGGTGATTTGATGAAAGTGATCCAATAAACTTTCTTATTATAAAAAAAATCTTGATTTAAGAGTAGTTTATTACCCTGTGATTATATCACACTAATACGCCCGTCATGACACGTGTCAGTGATCTCACTGGGCATTAAGCGGCATTCATTGGTCAACGGTCCACAAGAAACAAAAAGCATCAGCCGTCGATTTGGAATCTGATCGAAAATGGGAATCGTGGCCGTTGAATTGAATCCTTCTCTTCACCTGTGCGCCTCCGGTTTCTCTCTGTCCGGTCGGACCTATGGGTAGTCAAATATGGCTTAAAGTTGGTGATTCATAACAAATAAATTTATAGATTAAAACGATATTTTTGTAGTTTATTTAGTTTGGATTTTAAAAAGAAGAAATTGACAAATTATTTCAATATATATATATTATGCGTTGACAAGTATATGAAATTTGAAAAGAACGTGGATTTTTATTATTATTACACATTTTTTTTGTAATCCTCCAAATTTTTTGAGAAAAACACGAAAACAAACAAAATGGGCTATTCAGGTATTTTGGAGATCTTAGAAAACATGGGCCTTTATATGTATATATCTTAGGCCCATAATAGGATACGTAAGGCCCATTTAGTGTGTGTGTGTGTGTGTGTTGTATATATAAACACCTTTGGTATATGCTTAGGAATACAAAGTAAAAAATGGTATATAAGGCAAAATTTGTTTTTTTATGCCATAAAGAATAGGGAAAAATGAGAAAACTAATAGAAAATAAATCAGAGCAATGATGACCGTTGGATCCTTATTCAAACAATTATATCTGCGGCTCGGCGCGATTCCGACAAAATGATTGGACCCACAGCCATGTGGGCCCATGTTACGGGATGCAGAATCATATGTGACAAAAAAGATTCTCCTTAATTGCTTTTTCTAAACTATGTTATATATTTTTATTTGGGTAAAAAGGTATTATAGATATAAAGCAGTGGTAATGCCGACCAGGCAAATTTTTTTATGATTCTTATGCTGAAGGATTCAAATCCCGTAAAATGCATGTGAAAAAAAGGAGTTAGCTTGTCGATTTAAAATGAAAATTTATCAAATTGTTATACACTGAAATCCTTAACAAAATTATCATAACTGGTAATTCTTTTGTGCATGGTAGAAATTTTATAAAAATATTATATATTTTATTCATCATGAACAAGATCTTTCCCTTTACCCAAAAAAAAAAAAAGAATTTTCCTCCGCCTTCTCCATCAAGCAACATATGTGTATATATGTCTTTTACCAAAATGAAGAAAAGGTATATATATGTCCCTATATTTAGTCATTTCTCTATATGTGCATACACTGATACACACACACACACACACACACTAAAGGATGCATATATAGTTTATATGTTATTGTTTACATATATACGTATATACGGGTTGAGCCATAAATCAGACAAGGCATAATGAGAGGGAAGCCATTTCTTTGCTTTTGTCCTTTCTTCGTAACGGTCAAAAGCCTCTCATCAAGTTGCGGCGCATGTATAAATAATTTATATATATATATATATATATATATACATATATGTGTGTGTGTGTGTGTGTGTCCGAATCTTTGATTTGATTTATAGTAATTTGAGAGATGAACTTTATTGTGTGATTTATGTTTCTTTTGATACCTTAGTAGCATTTGAGATTTTTTTTTGTTCCGGCTAATATAAAGTTATCAATATATAAATTCCGATTTATATATATATATAGTGTAATTTTTAACCTCCATAGAGTGGACGAGATATCCAATATTTATGAGGATGAGTATCCACATCACATCAAACTCCAAACTTAATTCTATTTTATATGTGCAATTTTGAAATCAAACTAACATTTTTATATAAATTTCCTCCTTTTTATAAAAATTTTGCAGATTTTAATTTTGAAAAAAAAGGACCGGAATATTGGCAATATAAACAAATTTCAGGTGTGAGGAACTTGTGAATTAGGCAAAAGGGTTAAAAAGTTTGGTCAAGAGGGAGAATCGAATTAGGGTTTTTAGTACTAAATCCTCCTTTTATCTTTATCTTATTATATATATATTCTTCTTTTATCTCTCTTTATCTACTCGAGAGGCTGTGTTAAAGTCGTATCTACATGTGTTTCTGTGTCTCAGAGAGAGAGAGAGAGAGAAAGAGAGAGAGAGAGAGAGAGAGAGAACTTTGATTAAAGCATAGTATAGATGTGTATATATTGAGCCCGATCTAATTCTTGTCTGCTTCTCTCTTCCCTCTTCGTCCTCCGAAACCAAAGTTTTTCCAAACCAAATGTGTTTTTATATATTTCTTTTTTTTTTTTTGATAAAGTCCCCAAATCTTAAATTAATTATCATGCCGTTTTGACATGGTTATATGTATGTTAAGAACTATATATATATATATATATATATATATATGTATGTACGCATGTACATGATGCATGAAGTAAATGCTTGATGATTATAGTTGTACGCTTCTTTCTTCATTTTCAAGCCTTCCTTGAATCGTTTCTGATCAGATTACTTTGCTCTTTTTCCATCATCATGTCTGCATCTCCTTAACCAAAACCTATCTAGGTATTTATATATTTACTTACATATTTTCCTCTTCTCTCTCTCTCCCTCTCTTTCTCTCTCCTCTTGATATGAAGAAGAGCAACAGCGATCTAATAGGTTCAAAGCTCGAAGAACATGGGTTTCTTGGATCGAACCATTGCCCTGGTTGCGGACACAAGCTCCAGATTGCTAAACCAGTAAGTTTATTACAGTTATATAAAAACTTTATAATATATTCCATATCTATATAATTAACTTTAATTATAGTTCAAGCTAATTAATTGAAAGGTTTCTCTCTCTCGTTTTCCATTCCCCAAGAGAAGAAATCAAGAAAACCAAGAAACTAAAGAAAAGATGTAAACTTGCCGTGTGTTTTGTGCTGCCTCCGTTCCACCATACCATATGTATATGAATATGGAGCAAAAGAAAACAAAATATTCTCCTTTTTATTATTTTCTTCTTTCTTCTTCTTTAATTTTGTACTTTTTTTTTCAATTATATATATATATGTATATGTATTACTCCCTCCGTTTCAAAATATTTGTAGTTTTAGTTTATTTTCCATGTTTCAAAATATTTGTCATTCTACATTTCCAAGATAGTTTTTTACAATAGTTTCCAATTTTATCCCTCCCAAATTCCAATAAATTATTAGTGATAACATTATTTTTATCATTAAATAAGGTTATATGTGTCTTTTTCTCTCTTTTCTTAAAAAATGTGAAAAATCCTAAAACTACAATTAATCTGAAACGGAGGGAGTATATATATGGATGTTTGTTGCAGGACTGGATGGGATTACCTGCGGGAATGAAATTCGATCCGACGGATCAAGAACTAATCGAACACTTGGAAGCAAAAGTGAAAGGAAATGATGGACATTGTAGATCTCACCCTCTCATTGATGAGTTTATCCCCACCATCCAAGGAGAAGATGGGATATGTTACACCCATCCTCAGAAACTTCCAGGTTTATACATTATACATATATATGTACATATATATATATATATGTATACAAGTGATATTTATAAACCCCAGAATTAGGGTTACGGGATTCAAATATGCAAGATTCATGTGATCCTTGTGGATCGATATGTACTTGAGTGATGTATTTAAGAACCGACTCTTTGGGTAGGAAAATCATCCTCGGTTACATATGATAAGGTTATTTTATCAACTTAAAAACGTATATATATGTATATATTGATAAATAAAGTTACTATAGTATAATTCTGAAATGGAATTATAATGTTTTGTTTACGTCTGCGAAAAATGTTTATGTACGGGTAGAGTATTTATCACTCCAACTACATTAATTTCCCCCCCAGCAGAAAAGCTTAAGTTTCATCGACAGTTTTGATTAACAAAAATCAAACTTGTAATGAATACTTAGTCATGTATTAATTATAGTTTATTATGCAAATAGTTAGTCGTGAGCGTGTGATTATTGTTCCACTGGATAGTGTTTGGTAACCAAACTTTGAAAACATTTACAATATTGATTTTAATTAATTCCTCGATGTGGTTTTCTTGAAGGAGTGACACGAGATGGCTTGAGCCGGCACTTCTTCCACAGGCAGTCAAAGGCGTACACCACCGGAACAAGAAAGCGCCGGAAGATCAACGGCGATTCCGGCGCCGCAGAAACCAGATGGCACAAGACCGGCAAGACCAGACTGGTCATGGTCAACGGTCAACGAAAGGGTTGCAAGAAAATCTTGGTTCTGTACGAAAACTTCGGCAAGAACCGGCGACCAGAGAAAACCAGTTGGGTGATGCATCAGTACCACTTGGGAGTCGACGAGGAAGAGAGAGATGGAGAGCTTGTGGTGTCTAAGATCTTTTACCAGACACAACCAAGGCAATGTGGTTGGCCTCACGACAATATTGATCTTCCTCGGATGATCAATGGAACTCGTTCGATCACTTCCAAGGAGATGGGAACTGCTACTGATGCTAGGGTTTACTCTCGTGTCGGGGATGACATCTCTGCCGTTGACTTTTCGAGGGTTATGCCATTTAGGAATGGCTTCGATCATCATGAGGTACGCTGCAAATATATATGGACATTATTAGAAGGAAAAAAAACTTGTTACTATCGAGATTTACTTTTTTTTCGACATAAATATATCGAGGTTTTGATAGTGCGAAAACAATGGCGGATCATCATCATCATCATCGTCATCGCATCATCATCCTTACCTGATGCATGATCACGGCCATTATCATCAACATCATCAATTGGGAGCTATGAGAAGCGGTCTCCATATATCATCATCATCATCGTCATCATCACTACATCCAAGTACCATCCGTACCATCATGTCTCACTCTGCGTTGGAACATAACTTGGTCCTCAACGCTGATGAGCAGTCCGTCAATGTACCCGGAATCATCCTTCCAAATATGCCCTTTCAGGTAACGTTCCAATGAATTACTATTTTTTAAAATCCCAATTAATTAATTTTTCATTAATTATATGCTTTCATGCAAAATATTAATGCATGTTATGTAGTGGACACTTATAATAATAACTCGTAAAATTATTATATCTCACTTTGTTCACGAGGGTAAAACTACATAAATTGGAATTATAGATTTATGCGACTCAAGCATACATGAAAAAAAAAAAGAAATTACGAAAATAGTGTTAACATTATAACATACGTGCACGTGTGTTTTGATTATGACGTAAATGTATATACGATAGATTAATAACCGCTTTTTCATATGTTGATTAAATTGAAATAATATAATTAAGCAGCAAGAATATTTGGAAGGGCGATGTGATTCAGGATTAGAAGAACTGATAATGGGTTGCAATTCAGCCACTTTCATCAAAGACGTAAGTTTTTTTTCTTTTAACTATTTCCAAATTCAACGCATACTTCGTGTATATAATATTTTTAATTAAATATACTTGAATATTAGGGTTTTCGTTTTGGTTTTATTAGATTATTTCTGGCTTTGGATTTTTTTTTTTAAATTTTGAAACACCAGATCTATTGTTTTTTTTTTAAAAAAAATCAGACATGCATATATATATATATTTAAACTTTATTTTCGGCTAATTATCAAAATAAAACTTGATGGCAATGGCCGAGTTTGGACACCGAGCCAAATCTATACATATTAATTTCAACATTAATCGATGATTTATGCAGGGAAATTCAGAGCCAAATCCACTAGAGGCCGAATGGTCAAAGTATTAATTCTTCTCGCTCGAGTCCCACAACCGACCACGATCATAGGAAACCAAAATATTACAATTCGTTATTTACGAAATCAAAGCAAAAAAAAAAATGTACAAATAATGTTTTACCTGCATTTAATGTAACAATATAACACGATCACTACTGTTAATTAATACTATATATAACATCGAAATCAAGACATTTGGACTTGTTTATATCATGTTACGTTTGGAATATAGTATGTGATAATGAATATTGTATCCTTCTTTTGAATTTTTTTCGTATATATCATTACGGTAGAATAGAGGAGACAATTATTTAATGAGCCAGAACTGTAATACATGTTTTTGTAATATTATTAAATTTATATTAATTTATCAACTCCATACCACAAAATAATTTCATAAATTTCTTGCGAACATAATATTTTTATTTTTATGTTTATATATTTATATCTAAGTAGTGTAAAATTGTTAATGTTTTATAAATAAAATATATTAATGGTGGAGCCCACGTACTGTTCTTATATACGATACTGTTCACACCGACGTATACGTGAACAGTAACTCCAGGATTTCTATAAATAGACCATTTGGTTCCTCCATCTGTACACTTTTAAAACAGAGATCAATAAAAAATAAACTTATTCTCCATTCTTCTAAATATAATTTTCGATTTATAGTTAACGATCTAATATCCGGATCGTTAATATTTCTTCCGACTTCGTAACAAACATTTGGTTTTTGATATATTTGAATAAATTGCGGTAAAAAAAAAAGTATATGAAATCTAAATATTTGCGTCGATGCCACTGCCATTGCCTGCCAAAGAAGTAGAAAAAGAAGACGAAAAGAGAGAAAGAGAAGATGACGTGGCAAACGTACGTCGACGACCACCTGATATGTGCGACGTGGAAGGCAACCGCCTCACCGCGGCCGCCATCCTCGGCCAAGATCGGCAGCCTTTGGGCTCAGAGCTCCACCGTTTCTCAGGTTCGCTTCATTTCTACTCAGAACTGTCTTCGATCCACAAGCGTATGGGATTTGCTTTGTCCGAATTACTACTATTCGTGCATGATCTCTCCGAGGGTTTGCAGTTTTTTCCCTTTGGATCTGTGCTGAATCTGCCACTTCTTGTTTTTCCTATTTAGGTTTCGGTTTGATGAGGATTTGGATCCGGGCCTGTTTTTGCTCGTTTTCTTCTAATCGGATTACCGATTGCGGGTACTTCGTTTGTATCTCGGTCGGAACAATTTCGATTGGAATCAAAGTTTGAATTGCTGGATCAGAGAATTGATTTCGAGTAAGGATTAGAACTTCTTAGATTAAAGATCAGAGCTCTACTAAATATTTCTTGAAGAAAAGTTAAGTTTTGATGTCCATCGAGTTTGCCCTGCATGGCTGATCCCGTTGATTCAGCATTTATATTTCCCCGAGAATCTGGGGCTTGACTTCTATCGATCTATGGATACATGATATGGAAAAAAGCTTATAACATTTGTGCGGGGATGCTCAGAAGTTCGATTTTGTGCAAGTGTGTTATTGACACAGTGTAAGGCCTTGGACATGGGAGAAGTTTACCTGTGCTTGTCTGTTACAAAACTGCATACAGATGAAGATAGTTGCAGAGTTTCCGCAAGAATGAAATGGTTGACAGATCTTTCTGGCGGCTTCTTAATTAAGGAATTTTGTTCGAGATGTTTCTTGATCGGGCACACTATTGAATTGAATGCCACGGATATCGTTTCTTCCCCGTGAAATGAAACTTTTTACTTATCTGCTTCCAGTATTGCTATTGTTTCAGTTCAAGCCTGAAGAGATCACTGGGATCGTGGACGAATTTAAAGAACCTGGAACACTTGCAAAGAGTACAGTCTGATCAATATTCACTCAGAAAGTCCAACCGAGTGTCCTTATATTGCATTACTTGCTACTACTATTTATGAACCTGTGTTGTGTTTCTTCTGCTGTAGGGACCTGGTGGTGTAGCCATCAAGAAGACCATGAACCAATGGCTCCTGGCCAGTGCAATATGGTCATGGAGAGGCTTTGACTTTATAATCCTGTTCATCAAATTTTTTCTTGGTCCCTGATGCAAATTCCGGAGTACTATTTGTAATCTTCTGTTAATGATCCCCCATGACTTTTGCTCTTTCCTTTCCGGTGACTTCAGATTTTATGAATGATCTCAAAGATCTAAACTTATGATTGGTTTTGTAGATTGAAGCTCTCTGAGTGGCCATCTACTGCTCCTTTTTTACGGACTAGACTCAGTTGAGATGTCTGTACAAAAGATGAGAACCCCTTCCATTACAGGAAGATGAACAAAATGTGAGAAGATCTTAACTGATTTCAGTTACTTGGCAAAAAAATTGTTACACACTATCTGGTAATCTCGTACGGTCAAGCATTCTCGTACTTTCATGCCATGCATTACTTGGTTCCTGCTTAGGTGCAATGACAGATTTCTCTCTGTTTCTGGGTTACAATGCAGAGTTCCCAACGCTTAAAAGAAACGACGAGATCATGAGGAAGAGTCTCAAAATCCATCTGGCCAGTTTGCTGCTATGGCAAGCAGAAGTAGAGGTTAATGCTGTTGCATTGGTTGCCCTCGTTTTGTTTGGCCTGCACATGATTCACGGATCTGTAAGAACATTTACTCAACGTTTCCAGTTCGCAAATCCAGAAAAATCATAATCAGATGTGGATTTCGGGACATACCCGCCTGCAGTTACGTACAAGCAGTTGTCATAGCCTGCAAGAACATCGAACCAGTTCACAATATCGTTACTCTCTGATCGAAAACAACGGAATCTGTGATTTGTAATTTGTAGAAGGGAAAAGCTGGAGAATATACTTACTAGGATCCTTGTTGACCTTGACACCAGCTCCTCCAAAGCTACATGCAACATCAGTGGCACCGTTTTGCTGGAAGTAGCTGTTGAATACAAAAGAGGCATGAGAAACCAAGGTATCCGGCTCGAAACACGGCTGGCTCGGCTGTATAGCCGTGCAGTCCACATTTCCGGGTCCACATGCCCAATCCAGGGCACTCCTTAGATCTTTTTCTGAAGCCTTGGACGAAGCAATGCACCAGCTGGTCCCGCTCGAGTTTGTAACACTCGAGTTAGAAGATGGAATCAGATTGTTCTTCCCCGTGAAATCCAGATGGTAAACGCTCGTCTGGTCAGGGTAAAACAATCCCCAGTTTCTCTCTGAGTCTAGACCCGATTTCCGATTCTCGTTGAACAAAGAAAATACGTATACATCCATTGCTTCTCCCGGTTTTGCAGGTGTACCTTGGTTGGCAAGGATATGGCGGATCAGATTTGTGTTGTATGTCTCTGCATTGTCTGGATTTGCAGCTTTCTCCTTTGGTGAACCTTTGCTCGGCCATCCGGTCTCGGTAACCATGATCTTGATGGTCCTGAAATTCAGAGCCGTGAGGGCGAAATTGAGAGCATCGACCTGTGCATCGAACATGTTCTTGTAGAGCAAACCGGTGTTAGGGTCAATCACTTCGGAAGACGACTGGAACAAGGCGTAATTCAACGAGACATTGCTCGGGGAATCTCTGTAGGCAAAGTACGGGTACAGATCGATCATGAAAGGGGACTGATTCTCGGCAAGAAATTCGAGCATCGGCCTCAAGAAATAGGCAAAACTGCTGTTGAAAGCGCCGGCTGAAGGAGGGAAAGACCGAGAGAGGATCCCGAGGGAATGAGTGCTCGAAACTTTGATCCTCCTGCTCAATCCGACCTTTCTCAGAGCCGTGAGAACATTCTGCATCGCCGGAACAACCAGAGAAGAAGCATTGTGGGTATCCTCCGTAACCTCGGCTCCGACAGTGATGTGAGTGATCTTGGTCGCCGGATAGAACGGAAGAACGCTGTTCTTAAGCCACGTGTCGACGTTTGATTGGTGGTGGGAGAAGGAGAGCAGGTCGGAGTTTGGAACTCCGATCATGAGTTCGATGCCAGAGTTTGCGAAAGCCTTGAGGACTTGGACATCGGAATCGTATATACGGACGTACTTGATGTTATGTTGTCGGATCAACTGGGATACTTTGTCCGGAGTGGGCAAGTCGTCGGCGCTTCTTCCGTAACAAACTCCGACCTTTCCGCCATTGCAGCAACCTGAAGAACGCACCAGAACCAGTAAGAATCTGCTTGATTTTTCCGACCGAGATTTGGATATTTTCTGTTGTTAAACATTAATGCAATGTGGGTCCAGAGGAATTGCAATTCTAGCTGTAGAACATGTTGCGGAATCTTTTACAGATAACCAAAAAAAAAAAAACTTAAGCTTAATTGCTGTCCGTAGCTAGCAATCAAAGTTGAACAGCGAATTAAAATATAACTAGAGATTTCATTACCGGACACTCAGAAACATCTTTACGAGGAAGGATTTATTTATTTACTTATTTGTGAAAATAAGTTGAATTCAAAAGTGGCAAGCAATGAACTTTCGCAGTTCTGAGATAAAGCGAAATCTCGGGGAACTCTTCCTAGAGAGGGAAATCAAAAGAATAAAGGTAAAGTTGTAGAGAGAGAGAGAGAGAGACGAACCCAGAAGTAGGAGCAGGAGGGAAATGGCGAAGCAGAAACTCAAATCTCTCCCCATTAACAACTACGTTTGCGTTTGCGATTGCGTTTGCGGGAAGAGGGAAGCTACTTATTCTTCCTTCTTCGTTAGAAAGGTGGGAGCTTTTTCTCTCTCCAGAAGAAAGAAGAGAAAGAAGAAAGCTTTCGAAGCTCAGCTACTCTCTCTCTCTCACTCCCCGCAGAGAGAGACCGAGAGGGAACTAAATGAGTTTTTTCTCTCTCTTTTTTTTTGGTGTCAGAAATTAGACTCTGGTCTCTCTGGTCGGGGGCGAATCGGACCTGTGGGTATTATTGAATTGCAATTGATAGAATGGCTTGGATTCCGCCCGCGGCACGCTTGTAAAATTTGGAGTGTCCCGAGTTTCCTTTTTCTTCCGCTGCTCTCCGTTTTTAACTAAATTCAATCATACATTTTATTTTTCTTTTATAAAATCAACTAAGACATGAAAATTTATTAAATTACAATAACGAACAATATTTAAATCTCGAGATAATTTATATATATATATATATATAAATATAACCTCTTAAACTATTGAAATAAAGATTTTAAATTGGGATAATGTACCGAAATTTACCAAGAGAACCGACGGAAACCATTTCCGAACCGGGACTTGGACTAGTAGGCTTTCATGGGCCTATAGGCCTTAATGAACTTCGTTGATGGGCTCTATTGGATGGTTTAATGGGCCCAACAATATATTTTTGGTAATTTCATTCTCTTTAATTTAATATTATTTGTTATTATTCCCGGTCATTTGGCATTCAAATTATTAGTCCGTTGACAGGAACAATCGTCGTCGTCTCTCCACTAAAAAAGATTTAAACGGTTATCCCTCTCTTTTTCTTGGAGTTGCTCATCTGAAACCCTAGCCAGCGAAAATCCCTAGATCATCTGACGAAGGCGATGAAGATTAAAACGCCATTGAAGCAGCTCAAGCTCTCCGTCCCAGCTCAGGAAACCCCGATCTCCTCCTTCTTGTAAGTTTCGATTTCTTTCCCTTTCTATTTGAACATACTCTTTTGCGTGAATGAGTGAAACTGATCGGTGAGATTCTCTGTTCCCAAACCATTAAGATCGATTTTTTTTTTCTTTCTTGGAATAGCAATCGAAAATCAAAATAACTTGAAATTTCGAAGCTTTAGAGGGAGAAAGAATCAGTGAACAGATTGTGGATTTTAGATCCTGGATCGTCTGCATCTGAGAATCCGATGTCTCAGAAAAGTACCGGTGATTATATTAATTTGGGAAACACTTGATTTCTTGGAAGGAAGAATCCGATGTCTTAATTGCGTAGCTATTGATCATAAGGCGAACATCTGCCTAGTCATTTTTTGTTTTCTAAAGTTCACCTTACTTGATCTATGTCCTATTAAAATAACAGGACTGCTAGTGGTACATTCCGCGATGGAGATTTGCTTCTGAACCAGAAAGGGCTGCGGCTGATGTCCGATGATAAGGAATCAAGGGTGAGTTTCTTGTCTGAACACATCCTGTTGAATAAATTCTTTAGTATTCATCGGATGATGTCTGATGAGGAGAAGCAACCTTCAGAATATTTGCGTTTACTGTATTTTCTCTTCGACAGCCCTCTGACAGCAAGGAGCTTGATTTTGAGATCACACCTGAAGACCTTGAGACCGTGAAAGTCATCGGAAAGGGAAGTGGGGGTGTCGTGCAACTTGTTCGACATAAATGGGTTGGCAAATTATTTGCTATGAAGGTTTGTTTAATAGCGAATCAAGAATTTGCTTTTTCGTTTCTTTGCAAAGTTTCTAGTTTGGATCTCCAGGGGGATTCAGTCTATGATAGTTGGGGGTTCTTGAGTCTTTATGTCAGGAGATCATAAATTGGAAGCAGGAAATTTTGGCTATGACAAAATTTAGTCGGAAAATTTTGTGCCAACTTGGGTGTGCCTAGAGAAATCTAGCAGCAAGAAATTGCTAACTATAGATTTTGTTTTGATAATGGAAAAGGAAATATAGGTGAACGTAGTTGAGAATTCTCTGTAACAACTTAGCCCTTATAGAAATCACATTACTATTCATATATAGATACAATGCTGAAAGGAAACACTGAAGTATTTGTGGTCCTGGTTCCTCATAATCAGCTCTTTGATATTCAAGAAACCAGATTTGTCTTCTGAATTCGTATTTCTATGAAGTACAGGTCATCCAGATGAATATACAAGAGGAAATCCGTAAGCAGATCGTCCAGGAGCTGAAGATAAACCGAGCATCTCAATGTCCACATGTTGTAGTTTGCTATCAGTCTTTTTATCACAATGGAGCATTTTCCCTTGTGCTGGAATACATGGACCGTGGATCACTTGCCGATGTGATAAAACAAGTGAACACAATTCTTGAGCCTTATCTTGCTGTTGTGTGTAAACAGGTCCAGGAATTCCCTAAACTCAACCCAATACAAACATCCTAGATGATATTCCCTCTTTGTCTCTCACTGTTGTCTGATCTTCCATGCCTTTGCTCTACAGGTTTTGCAAGGCCTTGTCTACCTGCACAACGAGAGGCATGTCATACACAGAGACATAAAACCGTCCAACCTACTTGTAAACCATAAAGGGGAAGTTAAAATTTCAGATTTTGGTGTGAGTGCATCTCTTGCTAGCTCCATGGGTCAGAGGGACACATTTGTTGGAACTTACAACTATATGTCGGTATGCGAGCATTTCAATCCTCTCAACTCACACAACGAACATTGGTTACACCATTCTTGATCAGTATTGTATGACAAAAACTGGGTCCTTTTCCATTTCTTCTTCTCTTCAGCCCGAGAGAATTAGCGGGAGCACGTATGATTACAGCAGTGACATATGGAGTTTGGGAATGTCGGTGCTGGAATGTGCCATAGGGAGATTCCCTTACTTACAATCCGAAGACCAGCAGAACTCGCCTAGCTTTTATGAGCTCTTGGCTGCCATTGTAGAGAGTCCACCTCCAACTGCTCCTCCTGATCAATTCTCACCCGAATTCTGCTCCTTTGTGTCAGCCTGGTACATATTCACAGCTATATAAATACCGTTTTCATTCGGGAAAAAGTCAGTTCTTTTTTTTGCCCGTCAAAATGGTAATGATCATCGTTCGTGTTCTTGAATTTACGTTAATTGCAGCATACAGAAGGATCCTCGGGCGAGATCCTCATCCTTAGACCTCTTGGTAAGTTAACATTCTCAAAAACTTTCCACCAACATCATGAGAATCTACGAATCATTTGACAAAACATTCTGCCATATCATCTTTCGTATTTTCCAGAGTCATCCCTTCATAAAAAAGTTCGAGGACAAGGACATTGATCTCGGCATTCTTGTTGGAAGCTTGGAACCACCTGTTAACTACCCTAGATAAGTCTCTTCTGCTTCTGCATCACTTCATCCCTATCGCATTTGGTATATGATGTGAGATGATGATGATGATGATAATTTGATGTTCATCAATCCTTATCATGTCAAAGCCAATGATGCTCCATGTTCTTTTTATTATGTACAGAGTCAATGCTATATGAACATATGAGTATGGTATCACATGATGCATGTGAACAGACGCATGAATAGAAAGGTGGGTGTTATATATATATATACACACACACACATTTTCATAGTTGTGGGACTATTGAAGGATAAGATTATTACACATAGATCCTACCAACGGAAAACATGTGGCGGTGGTGAGTCATGGGTACGATTTGGACGAGTCAACTTCGGTTTCCATGTATTCTCTTCCAGCATTCTTGTCGGAAGCTTGGAACCGCCTGTTAACTACCCTAGATAAGTCCTCCTATGCTTCTCTCTGTTCCCAATGGCGTTTGATATTATGATATGAGATGATAAATGATATATAGTATCGTCGGTCTTACATTCCATACATGATGATGACTCGGTGTAATATGGTATTCTACTATATTTGATATACGATTATGATGATGTATATGATTATCATGATGGTGGTATATTGAATGATAAGATTATTATATACACATAGAGATCCTACCAACGAGAGCATGTGGTGGCCGAGTCAATTTCCTTTTTATATTTCTTTCACTTTCTTATATATTTTGACTGTGTTTAGTTATTTTATTTTGGCATCTATTAAATCTAACTTAATCTCTGTTTATTATTTAATTTACATATGCATCAGGATTTTAGTATCAGTTTTTACATGATTTTGTTCCCGGTCAAAGAATCCGCTTTTTTTTTTTTAATTAAACGATCGTGAGATTCTCTATTTTGTAAATTATTTGGTGTACGTCAAGAGGATATCCGAATTAATATTTTAAAAAATCAATAAAAAAAAATCTTGGTATTTGTTCATACGATTATAGGAGTGTAACATTTAAACAAATTATATGAGAAAATAGGAAATAGTCATAGTGGATGTATCTGATTGATGCCAAACTTTTGATATTATCATCCTCGAAAATGATATTTGGTAGTGGAAATTGATATAATTAGGGAAGAGTACAACACATATGCTAAAAAAATTGTATTGTAAATTATGGTTAATTATTTTGGATATGTAAAAAATCTAACCAAATCATATTAAATAACATATAATTATATTCGAGATCTAAAAATTAATGAAATATTTTTTAAAAATAAATATTTTTTTTAATAAAAAGGGATCTTAAAATCGAAAAGATATTAGAATACAAAATAAAAACTAAATAAATAAATTTTTTCTAACAGTTAAAAATACGAATTAAATCCCAAAACACCTATGATATTGTTTGAAACAACAAAAAATGTAAACGTTGCCGAATCTTTGAAATGCAAAGGGTGACGTGATTTTCGACCAAATAAAATAACAATATTAATTGCTAGAAAAAAAAAGATAGATGAGTCGGACATGTTATGGATATGTTTTAAATAAAATGGGTCTTATCTTCTTTGCCTAGTAGCAATAGCATGGGGAATAACACACCTGTCTATATCATAATATATACATACATATATATACACACCTAATTGGTTTATGTCTTAATGAAATAAAGCGTCAAAATTACATCTCGTGTGTGATTATATTATATAATTATAAATAATAACAATGATTAAAAAACATTGTTGTTGTGTATAAAAATAATTAAGTTAAATGAAAAAAAAATGTGTAGAGATGGAAGGAAAAAAAAGGGAATATATTATATATGGAGGATAAAAGATTCAACGTTATCCACGGCTCGGCTCGCACGTAAGTATTGCCTATAAACATATGTATATGTGTATATATATATACATACATATCCACACACAGATACATACACTCATTGATAGACATAGAAAATTTATTCAAAATATATATATATATATAAAAGGCTCATATATGTTTGTATGATAAAGCACACGTTTTGACAAGAACTCACCTGCTCTTATCTCATTGTTCAAAGGAAAATCAATCTCAATCTAAAGCAGATGGGAGGAGTGAGATATGATCCTACGAGGAGGATCGATGAGGAAGAAGACGAAGATTCAAGAGATTCATCACCATCACCATCATCATCATCATCATCATCATCATCATGTTCCTCTATGTCTTCTTCATCTGGTTTAGCAGAGGATGATACCTCCTCAGACGGGCCTCTCCATGATCTATCTGACCTCATGGATCAACTCCCCATCAAGTAAGATATATATACATATATACATATTGATTGATCTCTCATCACATTTTTTGGATCCCAATCTGGACCAGCTCCAGAGATTTTGATTACAAGACTCTTCCCTAAACTTCGGACCATTTTCTAAGTTTTGTCATGAAACTTTTTCGCATCCTCGGATCTGAATCCGTAATGCATTGTTCAAACGAAGAATCTCTTTAAGTCTCGATAGTTCCTTAACCTCTCGTCACGATCCTAATCTCTTTGAAACACACAAAACTGACATGGATTTACGTTGTCGCGTTATGACAGGAGGCGAGGGTTGTCCAAATTTTATGGAGGCAAATCACAGTCATTCACTTGTCTTGCAAATGTGAAAAGGGTAGAGGATATTGCGAAAGAGAAGTGGAGGAAGCCATGCAAGGGCTCTTGTTGGGGTCTTTTTAGCCCCAAGGCCACAATCTCAAAGAAGTCAACAAGAAAATCTTCAGCACTTTCTTCTCTGTCCATGAAAGCTGCTTTCATTAACCAAAATCCACTGTGAAAAAAAAAATAGGACAATCCTTGTTTTATGACACAACAGTACTCTCTGGTTCGGTTCAGGTTGTATCTCAGTTTTTTTTTCCCCTGAACCCGAACGAGAGCAAGAACAAGAACATCGGCTTTGATTCCTTCTCCTTGTCTTTCACATGTCTGTAACGGAAGTCAAGAATCTTGAACAAAACAGATGTTTCTCATGAGTCGGGCAAAAATATATGTTCGATCCAGACAATCCGTTTTCACCTGGGGGTTGCCTGATATGCGTCGAGACGTATCAAATCTTGTAGACAGGAGTGATTCCGAGAAGGTGGAAGCATTTCCGCATAACCACAGCTGTGGCCTCGCAGAGAAGGAGCCGGCTCGTCTCCTCCACTGACCCGATGACCTGCAACGGTTTTCCAATGAACCCCACATACTTCAAGTGAATAAAAAGCAAACCGATACCTAAATTATTCAACAGTTCAAAATCTAGAATCGCAATGGCATACAATAGTAATATACCTGACAGTTGGAGTAGAATTTGGTGAAGTACTCGGACAGGTTATAGAGGTACTCGCACAACACGCTCGGTAACAAGTTTGTACATGCCTCCTCAACCGTCTGGAAATTGTAATCATTACTCGTATTTTACCGACGCGCTCTCTTGGAGGCAGTTCCATGCAATATGATCACTGTCTTACCTCGGCAAATTGGAGCAAGTGAAGCCCGAGTGCTCGTTCATCCGCATGATCCAATGCTATCTTTCCCATCTGCAACAAAGAAGTGCATAAAGTATAAGGGACGCTAGCATCTTCTAAGACTATTTTCCTTTTGTAAAATCAGCTAAAAAGATGTGTTTCAGCCACTCTGCCTAGAGGGAGACCGGATAAAAAATATCAAAAGTAGAAACGAGAAACGCATGAGCAAGAGAACAGAGAATCATGTTAATGCTTTGAAATACCTTCTTCAGCTCATCTATGTCTTTACCGGACTTTCGTATGATTGAACAGATCCGAGCATGGGCATATAGAAGATAAACAGCTGTATTTCCCTGCTCACGAAACATTATTAATAAGCAGATGTAGACATTCGCTTGGCACAAACAAGCATGCTAGAAGGTAAAGAAAATGTTTTCAGCACCTTGTCATTAAGCATTTGATCGAAGTTGAACGTATAATTTGTCAACCTGTTGTTCTTAAGGTCAGCATACCTTGCAAGAAAATTAAACGGAGTGTAAGCCAACAAGGAACGAAGTTACGAAACAAAATCCCCTTTCATGAAGGCAGGTAAGAGTCGAGATTCTTACTTGACGGCACCATATCCAACTGCCTCAGCTGTTTGATCAAGCTCCTCAGTAGTCCACTCTTTGTCCTTACCTGAACATGTAAGAAGCCGACATGTAAAAGGATAAACAAAGCCACACAAATAACTTCAAAGGTGTTTGAAACAAATTCATGAACTAAGCTACCCCGCTCAACGAGAGCAGCTTTACTGCGAGTCTTGGCCTCATCTAGCAAATCGACTAAGCGGACCACTTCTGTACTCCGAGTTCTAAACCGCTTGCCATCTTCCCCAAGGACAAGACCAAAACCAACATGGCTAGTTCTTGGGTAGGTCTTATCGTTATCCGGAAGCCAACCAGCTTTCTTGGCAGCCTGATTATTTGCAAATTATATTATCATTAACGATAAAATCAAGAGCAGAAAATTTCATGCAAATAGCATGTCCAAACAGATGAGTAACCCTCAAACCTACTTTGAACACCATATCAAAGTGCTGCTGCTGGCCAACATCGGTAACATATATAATCCATTCAGCTTTTTCTTCATTCAGTCGATACCTGGAAAACAGATTTACCATCAGCCCAAAACTGATAACACAATATGCAAATATATCACAACAGCAAAACTCACAAAAACCAAACGTGCATATATGATAACAGCAAAAACTCATAAGAGAAAGCAGGTGATGTATCTTCAAATGGAAGCTACCAAAATCCAGATTTTACAGAAAATGACAGGAACTTAACGCACCAAATAGCAGTCAGATCTGTTGAAGCATAGTTGTAACCGCCATCGCTCTTAACAACAATAAGCGGGATGTTGAAGCCTTCAAGAAAAATCACCCGGGCACCTTCACTTTCTTCGACTAACCCCTTGCTGCTCAATTCCTCAATGACCTTAGGGATATGAGGATTGTAAAAGCTTTCTCCCTGTCAAGATTATTGTCGCATCAGTACCCGTCCATATATCCCTTTTCCATTCTTTTTCAAAGCAATATAGTAAATGTGCGAAATATTATTTACCTTCTCTTCAAGCTCAACTCGAAGGCGTTCATAAACCTTAGCAAACTCCGCTCGACTGATTTCACAAATCTGAGCCCAAGCCTTGCGGTACTTGGGGTCACCACCCTGCACAGTAGGAGAAAGAGATGCAGTAATTTTAGATCAAAATGCAACGCGATGAAAGTGCTATTGCATGATATTTCAAAAAGAGAAAAGCACAATGCACCGCTGATTCAGCTTAGGCAGTAAGTTACCCACCTGAAGTCGGACTACACCCTGTTGTGCCTTCTCCTTAAAGTCACGATCCTCATCAAATTTCTTTTTTGATTCTTTGTAAAATGCCTGTGAGATCATGTATTAAGTTAGAAATAGAATTGCTTTGGACCCTTCTGCACGAACTACACATGCCAACAATAGCAAGAAAGAAAAAGGGTAAAGCTTCAACAATACAATACATTGAACTGTAAAGCTCACCTGAAGATCTCCGATTGCTGCCTCAGTTACACTCTCTGAGTCTGGAAATTTCTCAAAGAGATATTCTATCAGCATACCGAACTGCAAAACGCGTAGGGCTTTCATTCCATTGGTAATGTTGAATTTCGAAAGAACACAAATTTGAAGCTCCTGAATTGGGGAAGAAAGCATTGGAAAAGGAAAAAAACACCTACCTGTGTTCCCCAGTCACCAACATGGTTTCTGCGAAGAACTTCAACCTTCGAATACTCGAGCATACGAGCTAATGTGTCACCAATAATTGTAGATCTTAAGTGTCCAACATGCATTTCTTTTGCAATATTGGGCGAGGAAAAATCAACAACAGCTCTTTTCACCGAAAGGGTAGGCGCCCATGCATCTATTCCATCAATAAGCATGTTTTGAATAGTCTGTATCCAGATTAGAAACAATTATGCTATGCATAAATTCCATGATTGAGGATTGGGACCTAGTTATAAGAGCAAACGGTACAGAACAGAGTACCTTTGCCATCCAATTAGCTGATATTACAACATTGACAAATCCAGGTCCAGCTACGGAGCATGATTCTACCATCTCAGATTGAGGGAGATTTTTCATAAGGGCCTATGAAGTAAGCAAAACGAAGGTACCTTAAAAAGGAGTTGAAGACGATAATCTGACAAGAAACACAAAATCTAATAAAGATTTATTATTTCAAATCTAATGACCAACAGATATGAAATCCCGTATCTGACCTGCCCAACAGCAGGAGGACCCTTGAAAGGAGTAGCCTTTCCTTTTATTTTGGACCAAAGGCCCATCGCGTTGTTGCTGCAAACATCGGTAGAAAAAAAGAGTTAGCGAGCAGAAAGCAATCTAATCTGCCTTCAACTCCACCATTCTCTTTTCTATCAATAAGTGAAGAGGGGTCACCATTGGTAATCGCCGAATTTGGCAGTGCATGCAGCTACCAAGGGCTCAACGTCAGGTTCATCTGGAACCGTATTCTTAAGGGATGCCTCAAAGAGTTTAGCGAGTTGACGTTTTAGGTTCCCAGCGTTTTCTTCATCCTGCCGCCACAATTCCAAAATCAGTGCTGAAAATGATAAAGCAGAAAAAGTTCATTCCAAAGTCAGTACTGAAAATGATATAAGTGCGACTTACAGCAGCTGCCATGGTTGCCACGGGCTGTATCTTGGTTGCCAAGGTGAGTCTTTTAGATGTAGCTTTCAATAACACTGTCTAGGTTAGAAAATAAGAACAATCACTACATCTCACAAGCTAGCAGATAAGATTTAGCCAACATGGACATGGAAAACTACGACAAATCTGTATTTTTCCTTGCATGTTTACATGCAGAAACATGTCCCAAACACAAACCTTACTTAAATTAAAAACAAGGCACAATTCTGAAAAAAAGGCCAAGCTTCCAAGTATTTCTTCAGCATTCGTAGGTTCATTTTCAGTTGACTAACAAAAATTAAGGACACAGAGCCCCACACCACATTGCTGACATCCCAGGAGAAAACCTAAACCCACAGCCACAGGAAGGGAAAAAAGAACTTTCTTTTTAGCCCGTGGCGCCACACCATCAGGATCCATGTCGGGTCTAAATGTAAGCATGCGGCCGAGAAACCAGCTGAAGAACAGAACTCGTTTCTCATGATCCTTTCAGTATTCTGATCAAATTACAAAACATTCCCCGAAAATTTATGCGAGAAGAGAATCGCCTTCGATCAACTAGGCCTGGTCTCGTCATGTCATCTGAAGCGATGGGGTCGACACAAAAAATTCCAGAACTTCATAGCAAAAGTATTCCCATGATGAGCGATTATTTTATAAGATGTCGAGCACTGAAGGATCTTATACAAGTAAAAAAATGGCAGGCCATGAAACAGTCATAAAAAAGCAAGCCAAAAGTGAAGAAACAATACAATGAAGCGAGAATGCAGGGGAAGAAGAAGGGCGAAGGCGAACCCAAATGGAGATGAACAGGGACACACGCAGAGAGAGAGAGAGAGAGATGGGAACTAGGGTTACTGACCAGAAGGTGAGGGAGAGGGGAAATGATGGAGACGAGAGAAACGGTAGAAAGAGAGGAAGAGAGGCGACGGAGGAGATGCAGCGACCGGCGGAAGGAAAAGGGTCAGGGGTATTGCCATTTTATTCATCACTTTTTTTATTAAAAAAAAAAAAAAAAAACTCCCAGTTTTAGGGCTAAGGGTTGGAAGTTGGAACACAACAACAAGACAGAGAAAAGCTAAAAGCCAAAGTATTGGGCCGGAAAGAACAGTGGACTTTTCAAGGTTGCAATTTTTTTATTTTAATTTTAATTTAAAACCAAACACAAAATACATGGGGATGAGTTGAATGTTGATGTAGTAGAAGAACATAGAATACTACTATTTAATTTATTCGTCCCGGCAAAAATCAAAGGACCCAAATCCCCCAAAAACGCAAGTACCTAAAACCCTAACACAGATTCCTCAAAAGAAACCACCTCCATTAAAGGACCCTAAACTCGAAAACGATATATATATATATATATATGATTGTATATATAGGCCCATTGGAGAAGAGCACACCGAGCCCCGGTGTTGTTTTTACTTGACCCTGCAAACAAAAAAAGAGTGACATTTCCTGCTGGTTCCGACATCATTACAAAAGATTATATTATACCATGAAGGTTTTTAAAAAAAAAATTATTATTACTACTAACCTCTTCACAAAAGTGTCATCCTCTGTATTTATCATTATCTCTTCCCCTGTCTCTAGATACGCCGGTACCTGTGGTTTTCAACACGTTTTCCCGTCCATTACTGGCCCCCCACAATACATTCTCTCTCTCTCTCTCTCGATCTCAACATGAGAAAAAGACTTACTTGAATTGTGCAACCATTGTCCAGCACCGCTTTCTTGTACCTGCATGCGTTTAAGCAACCCATGGGGCCTCTGCACAATTTTTTTCTTTATTTTAAAAACGGTTCTCGGACCTTAACACATACCTTGAAGATGGTGTAAGTCCTTTCATTGGAGATTGCGTCTCCACAATTTTACATGTCACGTGTTTAGGAACAGACCCATCTAAAGCTCTTCCATCGAACAGTTCAAGTTGGACCTTCATTTCCTCTGTCACAAAAACAGAAGCAATTTCCACAAACTCTCGACAGGGGCAACAAAAAAGAGTGACTTTCATTATACACACGCACCAAACCATATTCTATGTAATTTGAAAAGAACCCCATAGATACGGTTATACCTTATTTGACACGACAACACGTTATATGTCATCATTTATGACACCAAGAGACTAAAAAAAATGGCACGCATTACACAAAGCATTATCAACCTTTTAGATACGCAGCAGCTTTTCCAAATATCTGCAGTGGAACTTCTAGTTGTTCAAATGTATGAGGCCTACAGGGCATTAAACGTATATAAACAGAAGGTTTAGTTACATTCTTATAGGAATGTTATGCGCCGCAATAGAATAGGGAAAG